ATGCAAAGTATTTCACGATGGAACACGTGCGAGCGCACCGACCAAGGAGACGATCAACCAGGAGGGTGGAACGGACACGACACCGAGCATACGCTTATTCGGGGTGGCGTTTGCGGGACGAATTGGTCGGAAACGTTGGACCATCTTCGATAAACGATGGAGCGGATTTTGTCTGGTTTCTGGTATGAGAAAGGGGGTGGATGGTTTTGTTTTAATTTTTGGAATTTTTTTATGATTTTTTTAGGTATTCATTAATTTTTCATTGATTGTTATTTTTACTTTTTTTTAAAGTGAGCAAGTGAAAAGAGACATTTATATTTTTTATAAATATTATATTAGATACTTGAGTAACTTTTTGTTAGGTCGTTTTACTTTTTTGCAGTAGTAAAATGGATTCTATCTTTTTCTACTTATGTTATAATTTAATATAGTTAACAAATAATCGATTAGATGTTTAGAAAAATAATATAGAATAGGAATAACACAATTTTATATTCTAATCTGTCACATCCCTCGTTCCTTTCAATCTTAAATATTTAACTTGTGATTTAATTTGTGATCCATATGTACATATTTGTAATGATATTCTTATCAAAGATTACATTTGTAAAATTAAAATTTATGTATTTACTTATGTACATAAGTGATTAAAAAATTCTTAAACTTAATAAATTATAAATGTCTCTTAAATTTTATCATTTTGTAAACTTATCACAAATTTCTACCAATATAAATATTTTTATAATTTTTTTATAGCATATTTAATCAATATCGATTAAACTCCTTTTTTTCTATATTCTCAATAAGATTAACCATTCATTAATAAATTCTCAATAATTTCAAATTCAAAATAATCTCAAGTTCTTCACTCACCTATTTAATTCTGACTTGATCCAAAATAATTCATATTTAATTCTTTCATCATATGTATGCAAACATTAAGTCTATGAAATCACAAATCTCCATCACTCCATTACATAATCCATCATTTACTCTAAGCATTCATGACCAACAAATCCTCAACAATTCCAAATTCAAGGTAACAATCCCAAGTCCTTCACCAACATTATACGTCACTGTCGCGAGATATTGATCTCCGGAAACATCGCGCAACCAGTTGAGCACCGCGATTACCAACTCACCCTCTCCACAACCTTTCATCGAGGGGCGGTTCCAATTCAAACCAATCACATCGCAGCTTTTGTCTCCCTTAGCGAGCCTTCAACGTCCCGCCCTCGATTCTCACCCTCTAGTCGATCGTCGTTCGCGGCGCAGGTGGGTGGGGAATGATTTTCACTGTCGATGCGGTGGCTGGCATCAAAAAAGCCTGAGAGTTCGGGCCGCTGACACGTATCAACTGTCACGTATCGTCCAGTACTGTACCAGAACGTCAAGAACGAAAACCCTTCGTGGTACGGAATAATCAAAAAGAGACAAAGTTCGCGTCAGGATGGTATCAAACGGAGGATCGAAATTTCACTGGGCTTGGAAATCCGTCAGGATGACTCGAGTTGACCATGGGATCCTTTCTTGAGACCTGTCACCGCGTCGAAGGACAGGAGAGGGTTGAATGATCGGGAATGACTCGATCTCGAGGACGCTCGATTTTGTGAACTCGGATTTCTATTTGTGTCTTGAGCTTCGTATTCGACAGACGGTGAAATCGAAGATTTATGATTATACTTGTTGTTTCTTCGAAATTATTAATCTTGGATCTTGGTGACTGAAGAGAGACTTTTTGACTTGAACAGATGTGAAGTCGATAGATCTACAAAATAGATTACATTTGTATTATTGAAATTGTGAATTTAGATCTTGGTGACTAGAGAGACTTTTAGACTTGAACAGACTTGGAATATAGATATATGAAACAAGTTATACTTGTTGTATTATTGAAATTGTGAACTTGGATCTTGGTGATCAAAGAGATCCTTAAACTTGGATAGACGTGGAGATTGATATAGATATAGAGGTTTGGATAGATTGTTATTTCATTGATATTTGTGAATTTGGATTCTGATGACTTGGAACTTTTTGATGGTCCAAAAGGAATCACAGGGATTAAAGTTGATTCTTTAAAGATTATTGAAAAAAAAAAGGAGAATTAAAGGAGGAAAAAATTGTTGAGAAGTGCAAATAGTGAAAAAGTGGTGGGGAGATTGAGAAATTGAGAACTCGAGGGCATAAGGAACCATGTTGGAATTCTACCCTCCGCTACCAGGTAGCTTGAACCGGCAGGGTGAGTCGGGTCCGCCGACTATGGGATCTGCTGCACCTCCGATTCCATTTCGTCCTGCAAATGACAATAACAATGCAGGTAAAGTCAATAATTTTCATTTTTTCAAATTAATGATTTTTATATTTTTATCTTTATATTTTTTAAATATAGAAAAGTATATATTTATTTAATTTAGAAAAGAATTATATTTTTTTGATTCAAAATAGTAATAATATAACTATTTTTAATTTTATTATAAACTATTTTTTTACTGTTTTTCTATTTTCAATGTTTAATTTGCTAAAACTTTCTCTATTATCACTGTAATATAATTATTTAAAAAATATAATAACGATAAATATTACAATACTGTAGTGAACTATTAATTAAATCAATTCTGATCTTTAGTGAAAAATTTCGATATAAAAATTATGCCAACATCTCAAAATAATAAATATCATAAATTTATCATATTTATTAGAAATATCAATTGATTTAAAAAATCAAGAGATAAATTTATCTGTAAACAATTTTTATCTAATAAAATCATTAATAGATTATAATTATATAATAATAATAGTTAATAATTATTTTTTACTTACCAAGAATATAATATTTTATTTATTTTAGTATCTTATAATTGAAATATATTATAATTAAAATAACCACGTTAAAATAAACAGAAAATTATTATGTGTTTTATCCCCCAATCGCTATCGACAATTGATAAGCGACGGAACAAATTTCATGAGACTCGCAATATTTCTCTGCTCTAGAATGCTATCACATTTCTCAGTTTGACAGCCATATCATTCGGTATAACTTCTGCATATTTATTTCTTTTATGATGAAATATTCCCAGAAAAAAAATTCATATTCAATTTCTTGTAGAATTGATTATATAATATTAAATTAAGGAATAGAAATTCTTTTGAGGATTAATTTAATTAAATTTATATAAAAAGAGATGAAGTGATTTTCAACCAATATCTGCAATAAATAAATATCATAATAAATATCGATATTTCTAAATAAATATCATGATAAATATTGATATTTTCAATAAATAAATATCATATTAAATTTACTTAACTTAAGAGAGATATTGGAATAATTTTTATATTGGAGTTTTTTTTTAGAAAGTTTCAAAATAATTGATCTATCAATCGTTAATTAAATATTGTTATATTTCAAATTTATTATTTATATTTTCTGAATCACATTATAGAAATAATAAAAGTTAATTCATAAACTTACGTAAGAATTCGTTATTTTTACAAGTTCATAATTTTCATAAAATTCATTTTTTTTTAAAATTTTATTTGCTTATCTAAGATAAGCTTTTTGTGCTTCTAATCGAGATGCTAATAATTTATGTAAATAGAGCATTTACTATCAGTAATCATATAGTAATAAAATAAGCGATAACACATTGATAAGTATTATAAATAAAGTAAACTTTGTAACATATGGACATATGAATAATATCCAACTTACATGATGTTATAGAAAATTAATAAATAAATATAAATATTTTGTGGATATCGAATTTATCTAATTTTAGATTGTTGTTAGTTCTAATAAATTTTTAGCAAATATTTCAAATTTGCCATTAGTTCAAATTTTTAGTTTATTTCTATTACAAGCTTTCATTTCCTAAATATAAAAAAAAATAATTCAAAATAATACGAATTCAAGTTAAATAAAAACAAATTAAACTAACCTACGTAAATTCAAATCAAGTAAAAATCAATAAATAAACCAAAAAAAAAAAAAAAGAAATAAACCAATATCAAGTGAAATCAAATAAAAAGAAAAAACTAAATAAAAACAAATCAAATTAAATAAAAAAGAAAATAAAATAAAGAAAAATATCTAAAAAAAGACAAACCTTAATACATATTACTCAAAATATTATAAAAAAAGTTCAATTACTGATTTCAGAGCCGTCAGTATCAGTGAAGACGGAATCAGGCCTTTTGGAAACGATTTGCGCCGGTTGCGGTCGCACCATAGTCGACAAGTACGTGATGCAAGTAGCTGGAAGAAACTACCATGAGGAATGTCTGTCATGCGCCGCGTGTGCGACACCTTTAATTCATTCTTGTTTCATTCGCGAATTAAAACTCTATTGTCGGACCGATTACGAGCGGATCTTTGGAGTCAAGTGTGCACGATGCATGGAGAAGATCAGCTGCTCGGATTTCGTGTTAAGGACACCGGGTTCGGTATTTCACGTGGAGTGTTTTGCGTGTTGCATGTGCGGCCAACCATTGCCTCCTGGCGCCCATTATTTCCTACGTCAGGGACAACCGATCTGCCGAAGAGATTATGAGCACGAGTTGTACCTGAACAGTCCTCAAGGTTGGTGAATATTATGTCTTTTATGTCTAATATTTTATGATGTTTTGTTGAATTTCTTTTCTTTTTATTGTGATGCTTGTATTTTCTAGCTTCTTTATTTAATAATGTTTGTATTTTATTTTGTAGTTGTTAACATATAACAATGGCGACATCTATTAGAAACTATTGAGAAGATGTCATTAGGCGACGTCTATCGGAATCAAAAATAATAATTTAAAATTATCTTTTGTTTTTTTTGCATTTCGTATATTTTTTTAAGAATAATATTCCTATAGAATCCTATAGAATATAATCCTATAGAATTTCAATATCAGCATTAATTTTTCTGTTCAAAAATAAAATCTTATTATTTATTGTATTTTATTTATATAGCCAATAAATTCTTCATTTATCTATAATATTATATCTCTTATCTTCAATATTTGTTAAATTTTCTTTCTGTGTATTTTGATATTTTTATTTAATTTTTTTATTTAATAATGTCTGTATTTTATAGTTATTTTGTAGCTAGTCATAATCGATATATATGATATCTTGATTATGATGTTTTTATTATGATTTTTATCTTTTTTACTTTTTATTAACTAGAATTAATTTTAATTTTATATTCAGTATGATTTTTGTGATATGTTATTAAAAATTAAGATTGGTATAAGTGACATTTGTTGAATCGAGGTTGGTACAGGTATTAGAAATTTTTTATTTCTTTAATATAACTTTTGTAATATATTATAAATTAAGATTAATATACGTGATATTTTTTATTTCTTGTTGTTTTAGTTAGTTATTTTTTTTAATTCTTGTAAATTCTAGTTATAGTAAATATCATTTTTTATTTCTTCAATATTTAATTTATTTAATTTTAATAGATTGAAATTCACATAGATGGCGCTTTTTGTTCCTTTAGGATTAAAATTAGTAGAACATTTTTCATTTCATCAATATTCGTTTTATTTTTTTTATTGTTTTATACTTACATCAAAATTAAATGTTCTTTAAATTAATAATATAAAAGCTATTTTGCATAAAGATATATTAATTATTATCTTTTATAGTATTAGCAAAATCATAGTAAGATAAAAATATAGCATGATTGTTCAAAAAAGGTTAGTTTTCTTTTTTCTTTTTTTTCTTTGCTTTTCTTATTTCTATTCATTTAAATTTTTTATTATCTAACTTTAATAAAATTATACAATTTTTAATTTATGTTATAACTACATTAATAATTTTCTAATAATTGATTACCAAAAATAAATTAATATATCAAGTAATTGAATTTTTTAATTTGCTTAGGGATTATTTTATTCTAAGTCCTGCATGTTATTTTCTATATATCCTCTTATTTTCTCATTTTCTTTAGTTAATAAAAGATATTCCTGTTCATTATTTTATTAAAATATTACAAAATAAAATAAACTTTTAAACTGTTTTAATATTACACATAGTACGTGAATTTATAGATATAATGCAATATAATATTCTCATAAAATCGAAATATTCGATAGCAAACTGCTCAACTATCACGATTTCTATTTATTATCGATTTCGATAAAATCGAGATTGGCGGTTCTATATAGGAAAAAAAAATATGTATATAGACTGACATTGTTTCAATCAAACGAAAAATTGTCAAACCTATGATTGAAAATGATGGTTTTACAAAGTTTCGTTCGTAAAATTTTTCGTGACCAAGCGCGTATTTACATTCGATTGATAGAATTATCTTTTAGAAATAAATATTTAAACAAAAATGAAAAACTAAAGAAAAATCGAAACAAATAAAAAATTGGAAATAAAAAAAAATTGAGAATGATGAAATAATCGACGAAACGTGCGAGACGTATTGTACATACCTTGTTGCATTGTTCGCAGGTTGTACTACTACAATCTAAAGACATCCAAAGTAAAAACCTGCAGGAATTTCGAATCAAGGCTGTGTCTCTTTTCAAGGTAAATACTACTTAAACCAAGCATAATTAGAAATGATTCTTCCATAAATTACGAACGAAAAAATAATTGATGAAAAAAAAGAACGCCAATCTAAATATATGAGATGAAAATATTAGTATTCGTGTTTTCTCTGATTGAATATTTTTTATAATTTTTTCTTAAGTAAATGAAACTTAATTTGTTCTTAAATGTTGCATTTAATTGTTGTTAAAGGAAATTTGTGATGAAATCGATAGAAGAGCAGTTTGTTAGTCACGATTTTTTGGAATTATTGAATTTTTTTGAATCATCTTTTATCTATTATTATTAATATTACTTTTAAATACTTTTTTACAGCTTTCATTTATAATTCAAATTATATTCTAGTTATTGCTTTCTTTGATTTCTTTGTGTCTATATTTATTATTTCAATATTACATTAATATTATTTCAAATATTTTAATTTGAATTTTCTCAGATTTTTTTTACAAATTTTATTTTTCGTTTTAAATTATTTACTTATTTTAACAATAAATATTCTTTTTTCATTTTCTATATACTCTTTATTCTATTCCTTATTTATTTACAAAAACATTGTAAATTATATTAGTATAAAATTCAAGAAAATGAAATTAACATTAAATTATTTGCAGATGATGATTTATTGGATGATAATAGACCCCGTGATGGTCGTCGGGGGCCCAAACGACCACGAACGATTCTCACATCGGCGCAGAGACGTCAATTTAAAGCATCGTTTGAGGTATCGCCGAAACCTTGTCGAAAAGTTCGTGAAGCTTTGGCAAAAGATACAGGTCTTAGTGTACGTGTAGTGCAAGTATGGTTCCAAAATCAGCGGGCGAAAATGAAAAAGTTACAAAGAAAAGCGAAGACCGAGCCTGGATCGGATAAAGAGCCAAAGGAGGAACGCCGGACAGAAAGTCCTCATAGTGATCACAGTAAGAATTTTCATATTAATTATTATTTATTAACATTCGAATCATTGTTGCATATAAACATTGTTGTGAAATTGGATAGAAATTTATTTGCAGTGATTTGAATGAGAAAGGCAAATCAATTGAAATTTTGGAAGAATATCATGAACAATATATTGATGAATAAATGATAAAGTTAGATTTATTAATGAAAGGAGAGTTTAAAATGTAAGATTTTAAAGGATTGGTAATTTTATTTTCATCTTAATCATCACTGTTATATTTAAAGAATATAAAAAAATGTTTAATTATTAATTACTTAATTAATTAAAAAAAATGAAATATTTTTGTGTATCAAGATATTTTTATCTTTTTAAATAATACTATTCTTTTATTTTAGTTTAATTTATTTTAGTTTAATTTATTTTAGTTTAATTTATTATTATGTTTTACTCTATTTCTATTGTTTTTACTCTATTTATTCATATTTCATTAATAAAGAAGATTTTTAAATAGTTTTAATTATAAATATAAATTTATAAATATAAAAATAAATTTTTTAAATAAAATTATTAAAATTTTGTATATTATATTGCTTATTAAATTTTCTTTTCAAATTTGTTTACTTGTCTCTTTTAATTTTTGTTACTTAAATATTCCAAATTTCTAATACGATTTTTCTTTTTTAAATTATTTTAGATTTAAATATTTAATTAATCGAATTTTGCGAAGACTGGTTAATGGGGCCCCGATAAATGTTTATTGGTACAATGCCAATCATTTGATCTCGTTCGCAGGTCATTACTTGAACGCCATGAACATGCGCGATGGGGAATCTTCTAGTTTCCCCTCAGCCACTCAACCGCTCAACCCCAATAACCCGTACTCGCCTGACGGTAAGTCTCTTCTACTTATAGAAAATCATTAAATCATTAATGTTGCAAAGATAATTTTCCAAATTCTAATGTTTGTCTATTTCATTAATTTCATCTATTTAAAATTCTTCTAAATTTTTTAAAATTACATGCATATATTTTCAGATTTAATTAAAATATTTAAAGAATTCTTGAAAATTTTCAAAGAATCATGTCAAATATTTCAATCTATATTTTTTTAATTCTATGTCATCTAATCTCAATCCTTAATTTCAGATGCATATCCAGGCCATTCAGGTGAGAGTTTTTGTAGCAGCGATCTGTCGTTGGATGGCACAGAAGCTGGCTTCGATATAGGTGAGAACGAAAGTGGTGGTGGCCAAGAGGGTGGTCATCAGAGTAGCAGCCACTCCCACCATGGACCGACGTCTCACGAGGCGCCCTCCTTGTCTCAGAGTTTGCACGCTGCGATTCATAATCCAATCGACAAACTGTTTATGATGCAGAGTAGTTATTTTAGTGGTGACCATGCATAATCTTTAAGAGAGAAGAGGAAAACATGAGAAAATGCGAAATAAGAGAAAAAGAAAGGAAAAGAAAAGAAGAAAATAATGTTCTCCTCTTTTTCTCGTGACTGGTTCACTCTAACCCCATCGGCGTAGCTGGTCCCTGCGCATAATCGATGTGTCGTTAATTGCAACACTTCCTGTCTTTTGGTTCGTGATTCAAAATGCATGAAAAAGACTGTACAGCATTCTTTTTTGATTTATTTTTCTTAGATCTTAAAATAGATAGATATATTTAGTCATTTATTATAAGCTTTTAAAAAAAAATTAAATCAACACAAATGTAATATGTAATTAATAGTTATTTTTTTATCTAGTCAAGTTAATACTTAGTTTAGTTTAAAAAAAAGTTTAATTATTAGAATATTTTATTATTTAAATTTTTTTTCCTTCTTATTTTTTCTTTGATTTATTTCTATTTATTTTATTTATCTAGTCAGATAAATTTTGATTTATCAGGATATTTTAATTTTTATTTTTTCTTGATTCTGTGATATGCATTTATTTACTTGTTATTTTGTTATTTTGATATATTATCAAATTTTTAATTTTTATTTCTTAATTTTTATATCTTTTTTTCTTCTAATTTTATGATTCCATTAATAAATTTTTGAATTTTTAAGATCCAAAATTTTGTCCTTTTCAAAATGAAATTTAAAATTTAAAATTTTCATTTATTTTGAGAATTCTTAAATTTCTATCATCAACTTATTTCATTATCATATCAATTTTATTTTACTTATTATACATAATTTATTCATCGGTGAGAAAAAATGCTGTACAATAGATTTTCATCAGTATCGCTACAGAATTATCATTTTCAATGCTATGTCATTTAATTAAAATGATTCTCGTGATACTAAAACGAGAGGCAAAAACATGCGAGCCTAAGATGTATCATTGTTTAGATTTAATATTAAACGATGGTGATGTACTCGGTTTCTACATATAAAATGCATCTATTTAAACGTCGATTTTATTTTTGCCAGATTATTGTTAACAAACATGATTCTGAATCGAGATTCTTCTGTATCGGTATATTTTGCAATGTATCAAATTAATTTTGTTGATCTTCTCTGAATAATAATAATAAAATAATAGTATGAAAATAAAAAAGATAAATTAAATTATCTCGTGAATTAAATAAAAAATATATAAATTATTCACAAATTGGATATTTCAAGAAATTAGTATATTTAAAATTATTTAACATTTTTGAAGATAAAATTTAATAAAAGAAAAATTTAAAGACAATGCACTTTCAATAAAAGAAATAAAATAAAAGAAATTAAGATCAATGATTCAATAATTATCATTATCATATTCAATGATATATAATAGGAATCAATGATTATTAAGAAAAATTTCAATACATAAATTGACCAATTTATGGAATAAAGTTTTCACAATTTTTTTATTTTTAAAAATTTTTTTTTAAAATTTCATGTCAGTACAGTGAAAGAGCTATTGCTTTTAATTTTTTTAAAGTATCATAAAAGTATTATATATTTTCTTAATTCTTTAAGAAAAAAAAAGAAAAAACATTTATGGGAAAATCGATTCAGAAAAGATTTTTAAATCATAGCATTGCAATCTAAATTACAAAAAAATAATAGCCAAGCTATTAGGTTTGACAAGAAGCATTTATTAGAAACCATACGAGTTAGTGAAAATTACAATACATTGTATAAAAAAGAAACATTTTAACAATCATTGCTTTATACCCTATTATCATTTTTTATTTTATTTTTAAACATACCAAAAATATTTAAAAAAATCAATTTTTCTCGATTAAATATTAGATTATAAGTTTATTCGTTTGTTAATGAATAAATCGATAGAATCGTTAATTATAACCGTTAGATATAATTAAAGCGATAAAAAGAAGAAAAAAAATGAAGAAAAGTATAAATGTAGCATTTTACAATATTTTATATAACGAGTTGTGTCGCTAAACACCGATGTCGATAATATTAATAATTCTCTCGATCGAATTTAAAAAAAAATTGTTTAAAGAAATATGACAATTATTAGTCATATGTAAAAAATGTTTGAGAGAAATGAATATCGAATCGAATCGCTGTTTGAATAATAAATGTTTAATTAACCTTTATACAGGCCGGACATTCAATTTCTTAAGATTTTATTTCATATATTTATTATCTAAAAGCAACAATTTTCTTTTTTTTTTTAGTTTAGTTTTTTATTTGAAAATTTTAGGTTATGTAGAATTTTTATTTTTAAGAGAAAAATATTATTTATTTTTGTAATTACTTTTTTATTCTATATAAAAGATATATTTTTTAATCAAAGCAAAAAATATTTTATTACATATAACAATTTTTTAGCAAATTATAAATTTAAAGGAACACTTATTTGTATATTTAAACAATCACAGGAGAAACATTCGAAATAAATCGGACAAGTCGGGTAAGAATAAAGATTTATTATTTATTATTATTATATTAGAAATATGATCAAAAATAAAATAAAAAATTCAAATTTAAAACATACAAGCAAAATACAGATCTTTTAAGAAAAATCTGTAAAAATATACAAAACTTGACAATCGTTTTCGGTTTAAAAATCGATCAACAAATAAAAATAAACGCTTCGTAATCGCGAATCTAATTGCACCAATGTTTCCATTAATCGTGAAATCTATAAGTACGATTCTTGATTTATTTTTTATTTGAAAATTTCCAATAATATCTTAAATTAATAACATCACATCTAATATAACGAGCAATTTTTCTCAATTATATGTATGATTCTCATTCCAACATACAATTATTATAATATCACTATATTTTTTAATATTCAACTGATATTTGTTTAATAATATTATAATAATATTACAATATTTATCCGTATAAAATATTTCATAAAGCAATGAAGGTTAAAATATCATTAAACCAAAGAAAAAATGAGATTTTTTACTGGTAATATTTTTTAAATATTTTTTAATAGTAAAATTTTTTACGTAATATATGTATATGATCTTTAATTGCAAAATTAAAAAAAATTTTAATCACTAGCTTCTATAACAAAAAATTTAGGCTTTCACGATTTATGATTATTATTATTGACATAATTTGAAGTTTCTAATATAAATCATGTCCAATACCAATATTATTAATATATTCAAAAATTTTGCTAATATTAATAACTTTTGCCAATATAATTAATTTCTTTTTTCTTTATTTTTTTTATTCTTAAGACAATTAACAAATTAAAAAATTATTATTGAAACAATATAATTTTATAAGATATAACTTCTTATATTTTTATCATATGAAGAATTTTTTTTATTATATAATTTTTTAAAAAGCTATAATGTTAACAAAATTATAATTCTTATTGGATGTAGTTTATAAAAACTTCAAATTATAGCAACAAAATCTTTAATTATAACCTTTTATCAATTTCACCAATTAATGATATTATCCAGAAAAGTCAAACAAAAAATCGATAGGAAAAAAGCACTAAGCGAAGTTTTAAATTTTGGTAATTAGAAATAAATTAAATAAAAATCATTGAAAATATCGAAATTTGAATTAATTAAAAAATGATTGTGCAATCGTCGTAACCCCATTAAAGCGCGAATAAACACGAAGATATTCGGATAACTTCGTATTGCGTCGGAACTTTTCGTTCGATTTCGCGCGAACGAAGTACGAGCGCGGGAATCGTGTGCCACGAATCTTTCGACGTGAGGTTGTGACCGATCTTTGATTTACATATTTTGTTTGTGTAAGTTTGTACGTGTATATATTGCATCGTGATTCGTATGATGATCCGAGTGAGTTCCCGGCAGTGATGATGATACAGAAATAGCGGTGCATCTCGTTTTTACGGTACGTTATTTCATGTTGAACTTTGAACTTTGGTTCAGCTTGCTTGATTCGTAGCCGCGAACGAATACAAAATAAGGCATTGATAATGAGCCTTTGATTGTTATTGCTGGCGTCAGTTGTCTCAGCTTAGACTTTCATTCTTTTATTATCATTATTATTATTTCTCTTATTGTGTCGTTGCTTTTTTCTGTCCTGGCGTACGAATGATTCAGGCGTTGAGAGGTTATAATGATTCGCAAGAATTCATAATGATTTCTTTATGTACCGTTTAACAATTGTGTAAGATTCATTTGATTATGAATAGTTTCGTTTTTTAATTGCTTGAGGGATAATTGCTTATTATGACAAAAAGTTATTTAAGGTGATTATAATTTGCAATTTCTTTGGCTCGGATTCAAGGTATGCAGGATACAATTGAAATAGGTGGCCAAACTTTTGATTCTTTTTTAGGGATTTTTCTAAGGATTTTACATTGAAATTTGACAAGAAAGACTAGAATATATACAATTACAAATGCTATGTTTTTGGTACAGTAGTACCTATAGCTAAACATATCTTATAACTGTCTTAAATTAATCATTCTTGTGCAAAATTTCAATGTAAAATAAGTTTACCTACCTATTTTATTTGTTTATAGCTTATGCATATATAATAGGTGATTATAAAACTGTTTTCTATCCTATATTATCTTATATTCATTAACATTAATATTTTTTAAATCGAATAGTCGATATCTATTATCAGATTTGTAATATTATAATCGTGACTATAAATCTGTTCTTTTAACAATAATAATTTCTTTTTAATAATTGATTTCTTTAATCCTGACATAATTTCTGATAAGCCATTTATCTTACAATCATAGTTATATAGATATTTTTTTCTAACAAGCGTTTCTTTAAGTTAGATTTTATAGTAGATAACTATATAAATTTTCTAATATTATAACTGTGATTTTAAGCTTTAAAAATGATATTTTTCTTTAAAAATATAATTCATATGTAATTTTCGATAATACAGTCTTCCTTCTATTCTATAGTCACGATTATATCTTAATTCGAAATTATATTTTCTTTTACTTTAATATATAATATGATAGTCACTGACTATACATATTTTTTTTTACTTTTATAATTACGCGTTCTCATTTTTCTTTTTTTCTTATTTTAATATCGTTTTCAATTGTCACAAAATATAAAAAAAAAAACAAATTTCCTTGTCAACATCTGAATCACACTGGATGTAGGAACATCCGGTAAGATGAGCATAAGTACTCGTATCACCGAGAACGAAAGAAAGACTCTCGAACGACTTCGTAAATATTCTTTTTTCATTTTCGAAAAATAATTAACGTCCATATATATATATATCTGTAAACTCTTTCAACAATAATCAACAAATTCGATAGAAATGCAACATTCGTTTTATAAAATCTTCGATCACAGGTTTCGTTTTGTCACGATGTTTTTTTCACTTCTTTTTTATTCTTTTTTTTTTATTTATTTTTTTTCTTTTTTTTAATTTCTTTTTTTCTTCGAAGAGCGCTCTATGTCCAGTGCTGGACGTTATTTAGAAATTAAAAAATGAAACATCATTATATTGAAAATTTCATCGATACAAAACAAATATTTTATCGTAAAAAAATTTTTGATATTCACAAATAAAATTTTATTAATTCGTGATAGTTCCTCCCTTTCGATTTACTTTGTAAAATTGCTCGTCTTAATTTTAATTTTCTACAATATATATATTAATCTTACGAGTTGTCTACTTAGCCTTCTATTATTTATTTAAGATACTTTCGAATAAATTGAGCAACTCGAAGAACGTTTAATTCGTTCTTTTCAAAGTGCTCTTAGGCAGTGCGACTAAGGTGAACTAGGCATTTAATCATTTACATAGGCACCGTGTTCGAGGACATTCCTCTTTGCGAAAAAATGCGAAATATCATTTAATGGACAATATTCGATCTAATATTTCTAATTCGAAAGGGAAGAATCATTAATTTTATTACAAATACGATTAAAATTAAATTTGAATAGAAAAATCTTAAAGAAAAGTAAACATTAAGACTTACATTTCGGTTCTTATATTCGTTTCATTTTTTTTTATAAAACGCTATTATTTTAACAGTCTAATTAGTCACTATCAAGGAACAAACAGCAACGATTAAATTAATAAATTTATCCAACACTCTGCAAAATCAAACTCCAAGCAATTAAAATTCTCCATTAATCGTGTTTCTTTTATCCAACACTGCACGACTCTCCATCTTAATAAAACATCTAAACTCGGCCTACGTGCACTAAGAGAAGCATTTCCAGAATGCACTCTCGCGATTTTCCACTAAAAGAAAGACTTCCAGCCGCTTTGGAGGTACCTGACTACCTAAAAAGGCGCCGCTCATTAAGCTATAAAACTGTGACGAAGCCTCGTCCTCGATACTCGAACAAGCGTGTCCAAACTGGTTTTTTTTTTTCATTTAACCCTTCTGCTCTCCTCTCATCCCCATCTGTCTGCCTTCCTTCGATCGTTCTTGAATTGACATCGATCGAAAGCCTCACTTGAAGTTTATTATGTCGACCATGCTCACGTATGTGCCGACCACAAGACCTAGGAGACCGAATACGATTAACAAAAGATTTTTTACAAGCATGATCATGCAGGGACCCAAGTCACGGTCTGGCCAGAGGACGCAGATCTCGATGATCGCTGGAAACGCGATGCCAAGAGCGGAGAGGCAGAGGGCGCCGAATAGAGAGATGAAGAGACCCAGTCTGGGAACGGTGATGGCCAATGTAACTATAAGAAGATGATTTTGAATATTATAAGATAGAAGGAATTGTTTTTAGAAAGATAGAGAGATACAGAAAAAGAAGAAATAGAAGGGATGAAGAAATCTTGTTTGGAAATGATGATGGCCAATGTGATTGTGAAGAGGAAGATTTTATATTGTATAAAGTGAGGTAAAGAAAAGCTAATTTAATAAGATAATTACAAGAGAAGAAAGAGATATAGAATTGTATTTGTTTTTAGGAATAGGATAAAGTTAAGAGAATTAAATATCAAGAGAGAATAGAGAATGATGAATAAGAGGATGAAAAAGACTTGGTACAAGGATAATGATGATCAATTTGATTGCAAGAAGATTGATATTGTAATAAATGAAAAGATATATAGGATTGTAAAAGAAGAAATAAAGAGTGCATAATATAGAGATGAAGAAATTGCATCATATTTCTATGTTATTAACTTTAAGTGTAACATTAATCACACAAAAAGCACATTAATCAAGAAACTTACACGTGCTCAAAGTGATGATAGTTCGACAAACATACTCCCAGAAGATTTTCCTCTTCTGTATCTTTTGATCCAGATAAGTATTCCAAATAATATCGACTGGAACATATCCTTGAAGAGCATGCGTAATAAAAATAGCGATTGCGAACATTATTTTGATACTTTGTGCCATACTGTAATGTAAAAATCATAGTCTCAGATTCACGATAACAATATTTTTTTAACAAAAATAAATATATAACAAATCACTTACATTTCTTTGGAGGGTAAATTAAAAGTAACGCTACCCTCAACATCGGATCCATATTTTATGTAACCAAAGAATCCCATGACAATGTAAAGAGTCACTATAACTGTCATTCCTATGTTCAATACGCCACAGTATCCTCCAAAATATTGTGGCGTTTTCATATTGTTCTCCAATGCGATAATCTGCAATGGAAGAATAGGTTTTACATCGATATTTATTTAAATTTTCATAGAATAGAATAAAAAAATAAATGATAAATTAAAGATTTGAAAATTGAGTGAATATTATATTATTGTATTAATTAATTAAATATTATTGTATTAATTAATTAATACCGATTTTATAGTTTATTTTTTTTTTAAATAGTTATAGAAATCAAGATTGATGTTAATATACCTATAAGATTCTTTATTAAAGTAATAAATATTGGCTTTCTTATCTATCATAGATAGCAATTGTACGTATCTTAAATCTGAATTATTCGTCAATTGACTCTATTTCATTCCTTGTTATTCTGCAAAATTAAAACGATCAATTTCATTTTAATACTTAAATATCCAGGTTATCTAGAAGAAATTTTCTAAATTTCATTAGCTTATACATTTATTACTTGTACAATAATTATCAAATATTTGATAGGATATATTTTTTCTATCTAAATATATAACAAAAGAAATTCTTAAAAAAATCGATATTAAACAAGAAAAAAAAATATTTTCTAAAGTTTTTTTTTACAATTTTCAATTAAATTCCAAATTTCATAATCATATCTTTAATTAAAAACAATGTGTACAGGATGTTGGGGATTAAGAAAAGTTTGAGGATCACTGGAATCTTGGACGCAGGCTGAGAACTTCTGGGAAATAATAGCAGGGATTGCATTGACGCATTCACGATCTGATCACCGCAATCTCAAAGTTGTTCCGTAAGTGGCCATTTATTTGTTTATTAACGAAGCGGCGGCGTCGTCGATCTATTCTAAGCTCAGGCAAACTCGTTTCTGCCTAACAGTCACGGGGAATGATCGACGAGGCCAAATGATAGATCGATCGAGGGTAAAATTGAAAAACTAATGCGAGATATTGTTCTAAATTGCGCGTACGTGTGTCGAAGTTGGAAATATTCCGTCGATGTTTCTTTCGGTCACGTGTACGTTTCTATGGACGAGAACAAATCATATTTGTTTCGTTTATAATGTTTCTTTCTTCTTCTTCTTCTTCTTCTTCTTCTTCTTTTTTTACGATACGAGAAATAATTTTATTATTTAATTTTTTTAATTATGCTTGAAATTTGAGGGTTGTTTTATATAATTTAGATTATTCAATGGAATACTTAAAAATTATTTTGAATAAATAAATGGAATTGAAAAGATTTCATTCATAATAAATACCAGTTTTTAATAATTGCAAGTGTACAAGATGAAACTAGTAATCATATTATTGATATAGATTGAAATTGTCATTTTCTGGTCATTTCGATAGACTTCTACTAATTTCTATGAATCATAGTTGCCTCTTCAAATAGAAAAGTAATTTATTATAGCTTAAACGATAAAAACAAAGCAAAGAGATGAGAAGAAGGAACATTAAACTTACCACGCCAACGGCCTCCAACGCGAATAACGTTGTACCGAAATAGAGAGAGAAATTTCTCAGTGTGCCGAACATCTCTCTTTCCTTAAGGGAGGGTAGATCCTTAAACATGTAAACTAGAATCATCGTCAATCCGACAAATGTGATTACATTCGCGAGGGTGGAGAATGGCGCGAGTAACTTGAGGTTCCTAATGTAATTGATCAGAATCAATGGTACCAATAAGATCAGCATGTGGATCTCAACGTCCAGTGGTTCCCAATACTGGTCTGCTACCTGTATTTAACACAACAGAAAAACAAAAAAAAAAAAAAATACCCACGATCAATAAATTTAGAACAATTATTCTAAAGATGTTATTTTTCTCACTTTTTTTTTTCTTAAATTATTTATTAATTTTATTTATTAATATACGATGATATTATTACGAATTTAATAATATTTATTTATAATATTTTTTAACGAGGATTACTATGGACATTTTTTTTTTTTTTTTTATTTTCATACTTCCTTTTTTAATTCGGTACATGTTCGTTCGTT